CCGCAGCGCCGTAGTGTACTGTCTCCGCCGCATCGTCTGCCATCGGCGTCGACGGGTGCGCGCCTTGCACCGACCCCACGGGGCGGTCGCCCCCGCCGCGAGCGCCTAAGGCAAGGTAAAGTGAGGTGAGCTTCTCCAACCACCTCGCGACTCCGCGTCCACGTCTAGAAGACAGGAGCCCCCCGGCATCCAAAGTGCAAGACCCGGTGTGCGTGCGTGCGTGCTTGTGTGTGTGTGTGTGTGTGTGTGTGTGTGTGTGTGTGTGTGTGTGTGTGTGTGTGTGTGTGTGTGTGTGTGTGTGTGCGTGCGTGCGTGCGTGCGTGCATTGCGTGTGTGCGTGCGTGCGTGCGTGTGTGCGTGCGTGCGTGCGTGCGTGCGTACGTGCATGCGTGCGTGCGTGCGTGCGTGCGTGCGTACGTGCATGTGTGCGTGCGTGCGTGCGTGCGTGCGTGTGTGCGTGCGTGCGTGCGTGCGTGCGTGCGTGCGTGCGTGCGTGCGTGCGTGCGTGCGTGCGTGCATGCGTGCATGCGCCTCCACGGGCTCCGCCACGCCCCCGCGCCCCCCTGCTGGTGAGACTCGAACGTCTCCGCCAGGCGCGAGAAGCTCTTGCGCGCACGCGTCGCCCCCGGCTCGAACGTCTCTGCCAGGCGCGAGAAGCTCTTGCGCGCACGCGTCGCCCCCGGCTCGAACGTCTCTGCCAGGCGCGAGAAGCTCTTGCGCGCACGCGTCGCCCCCGGCTCGAAACTCTCCGCCAGGCGCGAGAAGCTCTTGCGCGCACGCGTCGAGCGCGCGATCGCCAGGAGGCACGCGGCCAGCAGCGCCGCGACCAATCCCCCAAGCCCCGCCATCGCGAGGGCGTGTGCGCCGTCGTCAATGAGGGGTGCCTTGGGTGGCGGCGGCGGCGCTGCCGAAAGCGCCGCCGCCGCCGGTGACGGCGGCGAGAGCGACGGCGGCGAGGAACGCGGTGGAGGGCCGGATGGCGGCGGTGGGGACGGGGCGGGCGGCGGCGGCGGCGCGGTGACGCTCCACCACGGCGTGGGCGGCGCGGAGGGCGGTTGCGCGTACGGCGGAGGGCGCGGAGGGCGCGGAGGGCGGAACGGAGGACGGGAGGGGAGCGGGAGGGCAGGGAGGGGCGGCGAGGCAGGCGGCGGCGAGGCAGGCCCGGGGGGCGGTACCGGCGGCGAGGAGGGTGGCTCCGGCGTGGGGCGCACCCAATCGTGCCACACATAAGACCGCCACGGAAGCGGCGGCGGCGGCGGCGGCGGCGGCGGCAAGGGTGGTACCTGCGGACACGGGAGGGAGCGAAGGTCATCAGTTGGGCGCGGTGAGGTGTGTGGTGGTGCGAGGGGCGAACAAGAGCGCGGCTCGGGGCGTGTGCGGCGCGCATACCATCCACCAGCCCGGGCAGGTCCACGAGGCGGAATCGCGACAGGGTTCATTGGGCCGAGAGCCGTGATCGACGACAAAATTTCGGCACTGCGCCACGGCGAAGGTCAGGCCGTCTGTTCGGAGGAAGCAGCCGAACCTCGCGTCGTGGCAGCACCGGCTGACGGCGCAGGTCGCGTAGTTCGAAGAGCACTGGTAGTAGCCTATCTCCTTCGCCATCGACATTACCTGTCAAGTGAACGCCGTCAGCAGGACCTACAACAAAAGAAAATTCCGACGCGCGCGAGCGGCGCCTCATAGGCGGCGAGGGCGCACGGCGCCGTCGAGCGAGCGGTCAACGACCGGGCAGCGCGAAGCGCGAAGCAGCGGCCGGGCAGCGAGGAAGGTCATCGGGCGGTGAGGCACGAAGAGGAGGAGGAGGGGGAAGGAGGAGCGGCACGAGGGCCGACACCCGACAGCCGCACCAGCAGAACAAGCTGACGCGGGCCCAGTACCTCGATGAGGTGACTTGGACCACCAAGAGCTGGCTGGGGCTGCAGAAGCAGCGCATCTCAGTCGTTCTTCACACGGCCATCGCAGAGCAGATTGTGAATGAGCTTGCCAGCGGCGAGGGCGGTCGAGTGCACGGAGCTAAGTGCCTCGCCGTCCTCGCAGGAGTCGCTTAGGCGGCTCCAGTGGTGTACCTGTGTTAGTGCCAGTGCGCGCCAGTCCCGTGCCCAGTGTTGTGGGAGGGGGTCGAAAAAATTCTTTTTCTCGCGATGTCCACCCCGCCGCGCCGCCGCTCGCGCCGCCTCGCCCCCGCCGCCACCGCCGCCGCTTCCTCGCCAGACACGCCGCCGCCCGCCCGCCTCCTCGACCTCCCCACGGAGCTCCTCGCGCGCGCCCTCTCTCGCTGCGACCCCGCCGACATCGCTCGCGTCGCGGCCGTCTCGCTGCTCTTCCACGCCTCGCTTGCGCTGGAGGGCATCCGCTTGTGGGCGCAAGAGCGCGGCTTCGAGCTGCCGGCGCAGCCCGAGGGCGAGGGCTGCGCCGTGCGGTGGCTGTGCTTTATGGCGCTGCTGTGCGAGTCCAACCCGCCGGCGAGGGCGGCGGCAAGCACTTATCACAGCCTCTTCATCGACGGCGAGGGGCGGCTCTCGTCGTGCGGCTATGCGCCGGATCACGCCCCAGGCCTCCTCGGGCACGGCGAGGGCGTGGCGCAGCTCAACACGCCGACCCGCCTCCCCTCTCCGCTGGGAGGCGAGCGCGCCGTAAGTGTGACGGCGGGATGGGCGCACAGCCTCGCCCTCACCACCAACGGCAGTGTCTGGAGCTGGGGCCGAGGAGAGGAAGGCCAGTTGGGCCACAGCGACGAGCAGGGCCAGCTGCTGCCCAAGAAGGTCGAGGTCTTTGCTGGCCAGCGCGTCGTCGCCGTGTCGGCTGGAAGCGAGCACAGCCTCGCCATCACCGCTGACGGCTCCGTCTTTACCTGGGGCAATGGAGCCCTTAACAGGCTGGGCCAC